CGAATTTATAACTTGTGTTGGACAAGGCCGTGGTCTAGGGAACGCGGAGTTTTCCTCCGTGGCATCCCAATAATTACTCCATTCACACACAGAAGAAGGCAGTGGCAAACCACTTCTGGATCATCTGCCAAGAACGTATATGAACAGGTCCCAGTCCGAGAAAAGGATGGAAGGATCCTGTTCATATGGACCTGTCGTCAGACAGGACACTAAATAAAAATAGAAGGAATGGGTAAAATTCTGACTAATATCTTTGCAGCTGATTACTGTAAAGACAAGTGCTCTTGGGTTTAAGGATATTACGTATAATTTTCGCCTTCGGTATTCAAAGATACGCGTCTATGACAAGCTAACGATAAAATGTCTTCGTCTTCAAGACAAAAAAGGTTCGACGGGTCACATACTACGTCGGTGTATTAGAGATTCTTCAGCCACGATACTAAAGCGAAGCATTGAGAAACAGTGTACGGATTCAACAGATTTATTTGACAACTGGATTTCTGTACAAATGTGTTCTATTACAACGTAAATATATAATAATTGTGTACAAATAAGTAGCTACGCCATACCCTAGAAGACTTTATATTGTTTGTATGTACAAATACCAAACTCCGTTCGTCTTAATTCTTTTATGAAAATGTCTAACTGGACATTAAGGATTATTCTGAACTACTTTATACCGTCATTATAGTTAATTGTTGTAATGATTTCAATACTGACTCCAGTCCTCATTGAAATGTAAATTATTTCTAAAATACAAATGCCTTAAAGTGGTTTTATATGACGGCTTCGTTTTCAAAGAAACAAACCTTTTATTAAATTATCTTAAATTCTTTAAATCGTGTTTCCAGTACTCATTGGTAATTAGCTAATGTAAGACTTACAGTATGCTTCTGTGCTTAAAATAGTTTAAGACTTTATTCTTTTGAAACGTAAATAATTGTAAGTTAAAATATTTGACAACATTTCATTCATAAAGCAGGTCCATTATTTTCTTTGCACACATCTGTATGGCTTGATCAGGGTAATTCATCCTTAACCCATAGAAATACTTTTGTTCGTATCATATGAACAGGCTTAATTTATTTGATTTGAATTTGAATTCGTGACAGATCATCTGATTTATGTTTTTTTTTTTTGATTTACGTTACAATTTTCGTGAATTTCGTCTTTGTGGTGGAAAACGGTTTCCGTTATTTGTGAGATTCATGGTTAAAGTTTAGTGATTTTGTTGAAGTGAAGAAATATTAGAGATTTCATTTACGTGATTTATTACTTTTTTTCTCGAACATAGGAGCCTTACACATTTTATTGGGTTCTCTGTAGTTCGATAATTTTTAATTTCCAGATTTATTTAATTACAACACTTAATTCAACCTAATGATCTGTTCTTAACCCGTTTAACGTGATGAAATTTAAAATGTAATAACACTGATAATCAATCATGTCCATACTTGAAGCTTCGGAAAGTCATGTCTTACCGAAACAAGATGGTTTTAGACAAATTCAATATTTTCCGCCAATCTGTATCGACGAAATTCTGTCTGAAAATAAGTTTGTTATGATATCAATACGAAAAACAGTTATTTTGCTAATGTTTCAAAATCAGTGTAACTTACTTGAATCTACTGATCTTACGTGATATATTTTTTTATTTAAGCCTTCGTATTTCGTGGCATTGTTTAGTTAACATGGATATGAACATTTGGGACAGATGATTGTGACGTCGCAATGATTGAAGTGATGGATGGGTTACTAAGGACCCACCGTCAGTGATAATGCCATCCTTCGTGAAGACTGTATATGTATCCATTTGGACACCCCTAAAAATGGAAGTTTTAAGGTCACGACGACGTATTGTTATAGCTGTGGGCTAAGTGGTCGGAACCAACGCTCAAGGAAATGAGTATTCAGCGCGTTAAACTGAGCGTTGCTATCTTATCCGGTAATCGGGTCGTCCTAATTCAAGAGCCTGTGTTGATTCTGTGACATTTTATTTTTAAAAAAAATTACAATGAAAATTCTTAACAACGCTTTCGTGCTAGGAAAAGCTTGCTGTAAACAATCGCTAAGTGCAATCCTGTTATTTTTATGAACAGAATTTTATTGGACGAAACGTTCTGAGCTACTGGCGCGTTGAAGGCGTTCAAAAGCAGTTGTTGTGCCTGTAACAGTATTTGAGATAACAAATAAACAATTAAAATTCAAATGCGAAATTAATCTGTAATTTTGTGCTTTGAAATTTTCAAATTATGGTTTTTAAAATTAGAGAAATAAATATCAGCGTTGTCATGCCTCGTCCTTTATGTTCCAAATACTGTATCTACGTAATACACCCAGTTTCTTCCAAGGCCGTAGTTTGTTCACTCGAACAGCATAAACCAGATGATGTCTGTAACGGTGAACTTTCGTGTTTTCTTTGCGGTACGGACTGAATTCTTAAATATTATTTAGACGAACTTCAACTTCAAAGGGTTAAAAGAGTACTAGTATGAAGAAATCACAAATAAAGTAGTACTTAAAATACACCGTGTCCCATAATTATCTTTACAACTTTAACACTTAATAACCAAGTAATGAGATGAGATATCACAATGCGGTTTTTTTTAATATGAAAGAGTAACTCTCAAAGTTGTTATACTACACTTTCATATGGAAGAAAGTGATAGTGGAACCACGGTTCCGGAGAATCTGACGTAAAACAGCATTGTGATATCTCATCTCATTATTTGGTTATTAAGTGTTAAATTTGTAAAGATAATTATGGGACACGGTTTACATAAATAAGTAACACAACCATTGCAGATATTTGAGTTTAAGACAACTCTGTTTAGTGGATACAATGATCGCTCAATGACACGAGAGTTGATGCAATTTTTGATACTTCATATTATAAATTAATTCATATTTTTATGGTACAATGAAATGTATTTCTTTGTTGCAGTTGTGATGTTGTGACGGTACAAATGTACAGATAATTGACCTGGTAATGTACTTACACAGCTTTGTAGACAGATAAGTTTTGAAATGTAAAGGTGGTTCTTAGGAATTTCTAGATCAAAAGCAATTGGTAATATTTATTGTACAGTCAGTAATGGGCCATTTGTCTTGTAAAATTCTTCGTGACAACGTTGTTTCGGGTATGGGTGATTCTGGAGTGTGGGAAGAGGTGAAACTACTTACAGATAGAGAAACGATGACTACATATAGTAGTTTATAACATTAATATCTTAATGACGTTGAATGCAAACATCTAAAACACAGATGTTTTAAACTTGTCTAATATCCTAAACGATATTTCAAAACACGATATGAATCTTCGGTAACAAAACACAATCATCTTCAGTAAAACTTGTGGTTCATGGAAACGTTTGGAAACAGTCTGAACGTCTACACACTTTTCCAGCACAAAAGTTTCTTTGTCATATTCGTAACTGATCATTTAGTGGGTGTTAACAGTAGTATGTGTAGAGTTTTACAGATGAACGCGGGGAGCTTACGTTCTATAATTGAATGTCAGAGAGGTTTCGTACGTGGCAGAATGCCTGTGTGTGTGACATGAGTTTTAAATGCACAAATTAATATAAAAGTTTAGCTTCAATATCTTTATAACACCGAGGAGTCAGATATTAAAAGAACTTTGTGGAATTTGAAGTTGCAGTCAATATTTCTTCCTCCAGATTGGACGCAGTAGCCAGTTCAACTGTTTCTTAAATCTTAGAGATAATGAAGTTTTCTCGACGGCGAAGATTTCAATTTTTGGTTTTCTGGGTTGTAACACCATGTGGGCTTCTGAGTAGATATCAACTTTTCTGAGGAACATACCGCCTCCATCTCCAGGGTTTAAGTCCGTAGTCCTTGCCGCGTTATAAACAGGATATCATCAATGATATCTTTCCATTCAGGAAATTCTCTCAAATCTTGAGCAACAGCGTCATTAAAGTTGGCCTTCTTCTTATTCTTCTCCCTGTGATGTACTTGTTCACGTCAGACTACACGGCGTTCACGAAGTATGCTACCTCTCTGAAGCTTCAACACATCGCTAAGACCGTCCCTTGACTGTCCATTGTAAATGGTTTTTAGAATTTATGTGATTACCCGTCTCATTGACGGGAGGACGACGCCATGTTCCTACCTAACACCTGCACCCACACTATTTTTATTTCCTTGTTTGTTTATCGATGCTGGCTGCTTCAATACCAAGCGAAACCTGAATAGTTAACGATTCTACCCAAATGTCAGTCAGTTGATTAATTCAAATATCATGTATTGATTTCTTCCAAACATATCAATTATTCTTCTTGTATGTTCGAACTGTTTTATGAAATATGTATTTAAGGGGTCTGTTTTTGTTTTGCATTCGTAACATTTTAATAAATAAGCGGTGGTTTTAGGATTACCAATTATGCACTTGTCAATGGATGTATCGGAATTCAACTAGGAAGTAAATGTTTTTAAGTGTGTCTGCACATTTTTCTTTGGGTCTGTCTAGGGAATCATGGCACGAGACATCATTTGCACTTCTGTGTTTATATAACTGTAATAACTTTCAATTTTTCTTGTCATTCCTGCAGGAACAAAATGTTAAATTGGATTTGTAAAAAATACGAACTCGTGTTATATCATAAGTCAGTTGAAATTCATATGTAAACAGTGAGATACTTTAAGCCTGAAATGTTCTGATCTTAATCTCTTATAATATACGTTCTAAAATATTTAATAAAAATTGTTTTAAATAATGAAGCGAACGTTTTGTCGTACGTCACACGAGCACGGTCATGGCCGTGTTAATGTTTAAATACGTTGCCACTGTTCACTGTTTCATAATTCCTCTTGTTGATTTGACAAATTTCAATTCTCTTGTTTCTTCTATAGCCTGGTAATTCATACGAAGGCTGTGGTCAGTTATCTCATTAGGTACATAATTTCCTTAAGATTCATTACAGAATTTATACTAGTCCAGTCTTTTGCAGCTCTGATCATATTATATTGCAGTACATTTTATACGAGAGATATCTGAATAAGTACCTTCTTCACATCTCGCAAAACTGTCTCTTATTCCAAGATCAAATGGAAATTATGAGTTTTACAGTATTATAAATGTATTATCAGTAGCTTGACTTTGTATTATTGCAGAAGCCAGATGATGTAGATAAATTTATACAGTACAAACACGTATATTCACATACATTATTTGGATTTCGTGTTACTATAATCTCGTATTTAATAATTCAAATATTTAAAGAGGGCTGTAATGCTCGTATAACGCAGCAGTTAAAGTGTAATCAAAAAATAACACACGCGAAACAAATGGTTTTGAAGAATATGCTGACGGTATGAACTTATACATCTGTAATATACGGTAGGAGTTTCAAGTGACATCTTTTTCGTGTGTGGCTTCCTCGTCAGTGTTTTCATGTGTACATCTGATTACCTGTTGGATTAACTGGACATCCGGTCAGGACGAATGTAACGCACGCTGACAGTTCCTGCAATCGCTCAGAGTTGCATTTCTTATGGACAAGAGTCGCTGGCGGGTCTGAATGATATTTGTGGAGGCACTTACATTTGTATTTTCTGATAGTATTTCTCTAAATGTGGGCGATGGAATTGGGTAAGAATGTACTGAGTAACGTCACTTAAAGCAGCATCAGCAGTAGAAACATTCTCGTATGCGGTGTCTGGGTGTGAATGCAGCTCGTGCTTTACCGCCATCAGACCTGGGTGTGCGTGTTGTTGTGAACCTGGTCACCCTCTGCGCTGTTGATTTGATTGGCCGGCGTGTAATACTGTGAACAATGAACAGTACATCGACACGCTTTACAACATTTATCATGGCTTTCGAAATGTAGGACAGAGCTTTGTTGTATTACCAGAGCCCACACTCGTCATTTATGTGGTATTAAACGTTACCCAGGATTATTGTGTCCATTATTTCGGAATTTGAATGTCTTTTTTTTGAGAAACTGGTGCATGTTCGAAATCAGAGGGATATTTTGTCTAAATAAATTCACTTTATGCTGTATAATTTTACTTGAAGAGCCAGATAGTCAAATTCTCCTCCTTTATTGAACTCGTAGGTTCATTGCCGTGTGACCACCGTACCCTGTTCAGATCCAGTAAAATCCACATCTTTGTACCATGCTTTTATTTAAGATTACATTATCCGCCCTATTGTGCCTATATGTACCAAGTCTTCGTGTTTTACGATTCAAATCTTATATGTATTTCTCGTCTAAGCTACACAATGTATGTTTAAATATGTATGTTTTCAAATGTATTTAGTTTGTAGACGTAATTGTAAATATCTTTTAGTTCATAAGTTACTCCATCTGCTTTTCTACACGACACATATTCCATCAAGCAATCAATCGTATATTTAAGACTTTAAATTCTAGTGGTAACTATATGTACCATGTACTTTAAGAGTCAGTAACTCTGTCTATTGTATATTTATTTTGTACAGTCTATACACAAACGTTTGAAGTTTATTGGTGTTGTAAAAATTATATAATATTAAAACATTTTATTGTGTAAAATATTATATTAGCGCTCTTAATCGTAAATACGATTTTACATTATATTTTTTAATATGTTTTAATATTATATAATTTTTACAACACCAATAAACTTCAAACGTTTATGTATAGACTGTACAAAATAAATATATTTAATCAAACACAAACATGACGCATATAAGATACAAATCTGTCTATTGTATTAAGGGTTTCGTTTAATTCTCGGTGTAAACGGCGATCATATCTTTAGATGTTAACAAATTGGTTTATGTAATGAGGATGTGCGGTCTTTTCTTTGAGGGAGGAATTAATTTCTTGAATATTATTTAGACCGGCTTCGTTCCCCACTTTGAAGGATTAAAGTGTTCGGAAGAGAAGTGGATATCTCGCGTAAAATAATTAGTATTTATCTACTCGTATAAGCCATTTTCCTGGCATGTGTAAAGGCAAATTTTGTTTTTGTATGAATAAATCTAGAAACGATTAGAAAAAAGCTTAATATTACGTTTCGAAGTCGCGTAATGAAAATAACTGTTAGGTGAATATACCTTATGTTATTAAATTCATACACAATACGTTAGGAAAAGGTGAATAGAGTTATTTTTTTAGACAGTTTCATGCAGTGGGACTATACACGTGGGTTCACACGTGTGCAGAAGTTTGTTGTGTCATTGTGTGGGGCAGAGGAGAGGCATTCAGATTCACAGACTAATTTAAATTCAGCTGAAATACTTAAATTAGGAATGCGTCAAGTTTGAAGCAGAAAACTCAAGTACATATTTATAATGAATCTAAGATAGTGAATTACGTGATAAATTTGAGTTGCAAATCATAGTCTTATATTTAAATCAATACAGCATTCTTTCTTGATAAGCTAATAGTCGCTCTTATGGCTAAAAATACACGGATTTATTTTAATGAAAAGCGAATCATAGTTAGAGTTATGTCTTTTTGTCTTACTGTTTTGTTGT